TTTGAAAAATTAAAGTAATGTTATCATAATATTAAAAATGCCAAAATTTTGGCAAGGTTTAAATGTTAGGTTCTTTTTAGTTCATCTTTTTATTAACTTGATTAATTTTAGTTTGCCCATTAATGAGAAATCATTATTCAAAAAAATTTGATTGAGATTAAATTATTTTATACAAAAACATAAAAAAAAAAAAAAAAATTTAAAATTTCAAAAGAAAAAAAGTAAAATAAGAAAGCAAATGTACTAATACTAGCATAATATAGGAGAGAATAGGCTGCAAAGGGGAAAATTTGAGTCAATTTATGATCACACATTTTATGAGATCTACCAACTTATAATTTCAAAAGTTTCATCAAACAGGGACTAAATAATGTATCGTAAAGAAGGGAGAGCCAAGTGATACAATAATAAAAAGAGCTTTGGGATGATAGAATTGGATGGTTATTGGACTTGAAATATCAAATGGTTTGTTTTTGAGCGGATCATGGAAAATTCAAACGTGCATAGATCGTGATCGTGGAAGGTGTTGGCAAATTTGGGAAAGTGGTAAAGGCAATTTGAGTTGTGATGCTAGTTTTCACGCATTTTGTGCACTATGCTCCTCTATGACGACCTCGGCTCTCATCCTAACCCGTGTCACTGACTACATCAAAAACATATGGGAGCTGATCTAGGGATGGACATGGCTACGCTACAGCCTGTCCCTCCAATCCAAATGTTAATTTTAAAAAATTTAAGTAAAATTTTCTGTATGTGTAATTTTTTTTTTTTTGGTGCATATTAGATTGTTTTGAATTTCTTGGATCCGCTCCTGAACGCACCTATGTTGCACCTTGGCCTCCACGTGACAAGCCACTACCCGACCCACCTTAACGACTCTAAGAGAGACGAGTCTAATTTGTAATGTCAATATATGAGATGATTTTAGGGCATTTCAAACTTCAAACAACTTGGAACTTTAGGTAAAATCTTTAAGGAACTTTTTAAAATATTAATTATAGACCAAAAATCAACGATATTACATGACAAAAATCAATATATGTAGACGATTCAGACAAAATATAGAGAATGTTACTATTAATAATCACAACAAAGATCAGTTATCGAAACATGATGTTGTCGGCAACTATTGACGGTGCTCCGGTGGATGAACACAACGACGAAATATATATTTTTTTTATATTAGTTCATCAATGATTTGTCATTTTTATTTTATTTTTATTTATGATAACTAGGATTATAATTTAACTACTTTATTTATCGACGATCTTCATCGGAAAATTAAATTTATCGAGTTATTGTAATTACTAACTAAAAGTCGTTCATAATCTTAAATTATTGAGTTATTGTAATTACTAACTAAAAGTCGTTCATAATCTTAAATTATCATTTAACTACCGACATAATCTCTAGACGTAATTTTTCATTTTTTAATTTATTTTATTTTACCGTGAATTTTATTGACGAACTACATATAGTGAAATAAATTTTTTAAAACTTTTTTTTTTTTATCAATGTTAAATTATTATTTTGTTACTTGTGGACTTTTCATTGGTAATATTTATCGTATTAAATAATATAATAGAGAAGTAAAGATTGTAAATACTAGTACCATACTTCAAGTGGGCAATGGAATTGATGTTGTATTAATGAATGATGATTTAATGATACCAGAAGAAAGTTCTATAAAAGCAATCAGAAGAATTGCTCAAAATACTTATCTTTGGAATAAAATTTTCTAAGGACATTAAGCAACGCATTATATAAAGTACGGTGAACTCTATTGATGAGACTCGTGATGGTTTTTTCAACAATTTTGCTATATTGTCAGGAAGGATTTGACACCCTACTTGACAGACTCCTTACAATGGGGATAGGAATTTTTTCGTATTTTTTATTCACATGGATATCAAGTATGTATTTGTCAACGAGACTGACATTTTTCTTCATGGCAAAGTAGTTTAATTCCTTTTTCAAGAGAAAATGTATTTATTTTGAATGTGATTTCACAAACTTGTTACGACAGTGAGGATCATAATAAGATTTTGTTAATGTAAAAAATATTTACTTGACGTAAGGCTAGAGCTGAACAATGTCAAATCACAAAATTGAATTGAAATCACTTTTTTGAAACCGTTGGTTTGGATCCACATGGATTCGTCAACGGTTTGGTTTGGATCCATATGGATCCGTCAACGGTTTGATTTTGAATCGAACCAACCTGATTCGAAGTAATTTAGTTTAGATTTTAATTGCAGCAAACCATTAATAAAAAAAATATAAAAAATTCATTTAAATTTTATTCAATCCAAGTAACGCTAAACACTTCTCGGTTAATTACATTCATGTTAGGCATTGAAATCGTTCCTCCTACTAATGAATTTGACACACTTTTTTGACAAATAATTGTAACATTTAATTTAAGTCAATCTACCACTCAATATCTTATGGATCTCAAGTGATTATAACAAATTCATCCATAATTTTAGTGAAATGGATATTGAGCGTAAAACTCATATTGAGGAAAAATCTTGATTAGACATAATTCAATATGTCAATTAATAAAACACACAGAGTGGATAATTGTCTCCAAATACTCTCTATTGTCACTTTATACAGTTAGGACAATCCCTTCTTCAACAACTCTGATTCTCAGTTTCTTGACATAATTGCAATGGTGTGCCTGAGACCTAAAAAACTAATTACTACTTAACATTCTTGAAACCAATTATAAGTTGTTAATAGTCTCTATTTAGTAGCTTAGTTTGTAAGAATAATTGTGTGCCGGAGACTTAACCATCGAAATAGTTAGGATCTTAATTAGATTGATTAAACCTCTATTACGTTGTCCCTATATGTGTACAAATTTATCGAAGTTCTCCGATAATACTTTAAAAATTTCGTCAAAAATATATTAGGCTCAACGTACCCAATAGTCTTCCACATAGGCATAAATCCTCAACACATCTAACAATAAGAATTTTGCTACTTTACCTGAATGGTTGACATCCTCTCACATGCCATGAGTCTCGCGTGAATAAAAAAGTCCAAAAAAAAAAGTGGGGCTCTTGCCATTGTGAGAGTCGGTCCACCCCTCTATCAAAAAAATTCGGACACTGCAGTGGGATTGCAACAATAACGGGGAATTGGCACGCATTGACTCCTCAGCTTCAAGTGAGCAGGTCAACTTTTAAGTTGCTGATAATTCAGGTTTTCTCAATTGTAGCTGTATTCATCAGCATATGAGTTCTTGAACTCTCGCACCACAGACAAAAAAATATAAAGTATATTTGTTCCACGTATTCCATATTATTAAAAATGAATTTTAGCTCCTATTTGGGCTTTATTTTTCAAAATTCATTTTTAACCATATATTTTTCTATAAAATAATGTTGCAAAATTTTTCTTCATTTTCGAACCATACATTCTCCAAAACATCACCATTTTAAAACATATTTTCCCCTAAAATTTCATTTTAATAGAGTCCAAACAGGGGTTTAGTGTGAAAAGGACTTTTCGTTCATTCTATTTGAAGCTAATAGACAATACTTGTCAATATTTTGAATGAAAACGTTATTGTTTACAATTAGTATGCCTATTGACTTGACTATGTGCTTACAAATATGATTCAGATCTTTAGAAGCTTAGCTTCTATTTGGTTTAGCTAAAATTAAATTTCCAAAAGGTGTTGATAAGGTTAATGAAATGTATTGATAAAAAATTAATAAAAACTATGGATCCCGTTAAATGTATGGTTGAAAATGAATTCAAAAAAATAAGTTTTTAAAAGTGGAATCAAACAGAGTCTTATAAGACAAAAAAAAAAAAAAAAAAAAAAAGAGTTTATGGAGTTCTGCCAGCCCAGCGTGGTGATAAATGGGAGAAAAAATAAATCACATTTAATTAGTATGGTTAAAAAAAAAATAAAAAAAAAAAGTTTTTAAAATGGGAATAAAAAAAAGTTTTAAAAAAAAAAAAAAAAAAAAAAAATTAAGATGAACCTCTTGTTTTCAATCAATCTTTGACGCATCGTAAAAAAATTGAGGTGTCAAAACTTTTGTGAGGACTGAGTAATATATCAAAATTAAATTGGGGAAAAAAACCCGTAAGACGGCGAGGTGGAAACCACCGTATTTGGACTCCATTTTCCTCTCTTATGAATTTTAATTTTGTAAAACATCACATTTACGACTAGGTTATTATTTGTTTTGTAGTTCTTTTAATTGTTTATAAAATATGAGTAACACGAAATATATGAATAATAAATTTTGGGATACTATGAAATGTGTTAAAAAAATATATATTTATCTATTTAAATTAAAATTTAAGTTTTTGACAAAAGGTTACCAATGTTATTCCTCACCAACCCGGTCCCCCCGGGGGGGGGGGGGGGGGGGGTGCAGAGAGAGTGAAAAATAAGTAATTTCTTCAATAAGTAGAGCATAGAAAGGAAGGAATTTGCTTTATTAGGGTTAAACCCCACTTCTCGTACATCAATGCAAACCTTATTCCACGAAAGACCTTCCACATTTTGCATGTACTCTTCCTCTTTCTTCCTCTCAAGACTTGCACTTCAATTCCACCCAATGCTTTCTCTCTATTTCTCAATTTCTCTCTCTTTTGCCGTAAATATCTATATTTCGAAACTTGACCACGTCTTTGAGTAAACATTGCGTGGCAAGGTATTCTTTAAATTGTAATCTCATCAATTAGTATAACAAGTGCAACGATTACGAGTATTAATCGTGCAGGTTATAATTAGTTGTGATTGACGATGACATTTGTCATTTTTCGAAACATTCCCAGAATTTACTCATTTTAAATTTCGGAACAGTTACACTTATCTTTCTGCGAAACATCCTAAAAGTTTACTCGTTTTTACTCGTTGACGACTTTAAAGACTCCATTTCACTATTCAACCCTAAATAAACTAATAAAATAGTAATAACTTATTCATAATCAGCCCTATAAATAAAACCCCCACGGCTAAACCCCTTTGATGTACAGTAAAAACAGAGGGGGGCCTTATTCTTTGTAACGGAATGGAGCAAAAACATTCTCAAAACCCCAATTTTCCGGCGTCTCAGTTGTCGGACAATCAAGAGAACAACCGAGGTGAACACTCTTTTTCCCAAGAAACCCATCCACAAATGCCTTTAAATGTAAACTTTCAAACCTCTGATCAAGAAATTCAGTCAGCCTTTTCCAGGCTAACCCTTTCCCAAGATTTTCAATCCCAACGTGAAACGTCTTCGTATAATATTCTTCTCAGGCTTGATGGCTTGGAAGCCACAAAATCAGACCCCTTTTCAGTGGGTTTTGGTGAAAAGCAAGTGAACGTTGGAGAGGTGCAGCAGGCTTTATTTCGGGGTCAGGCTCAAAGTAATGATGGTGGTGTCAATGGGCCTTTCAATTTGGAAGTCCAACAGAATATCAATGTGCGACCGGAGATTATGGGTTTTGGTAAACGCAGATATCTTGATGGAGTTGGAGGTGATCCTCTGAGATTGATGAAATATCAAGGAAATGGTTTTTATGATACTTTCAGTAATAATCATGAGTATTCTTTCTTGCATGGCAAGAAACCCTTCTCAGGAACCACCCCCCAAAGTCCAAATTTTCTGTTTTCAGACAACAATTTCAAAAATTTCAGTTCCAGACCAAGTTTGTGTAGTAATCTGCACTTGTACCAACAGTTGAGTATTGAAAGCTTGAGGGGAAGAATAGTTTCCTTGGCAAAAGATCCAATGTGGAGTGGGATTTTGAAGTCCAAATTGGAAGAGGGGTTGACACTGCCTAGTCTTGAGTTGGTTTTATCAGAGGTGTTGGAATTATTGAGCGATGTGATAACAAATCAATTTGGAAGTCAATTTTTGCAGAAGCTTTTCATGGTGTGCAATGTGGAACAGAGGACTAGGATTATTTTCACACTAACTAGAAATCCATTTAAATTCATTAATATTTGTCTTCATTCATTTGGGTATGAATTAATCAACTTTAAAATTTTATATAGATTTATGTTTTTATTTGTTGAGAAAGCTAATTATATATTTTTTATGGTGTTCTGTGATATTCAGGGCAACGACCATGCAAAAACTGTTGGAGAAGCTGGATTCCCCACAACAAATATCACTCATAGTGTCTGCTTTGAGCCTAGGTGTTGTTGCCTTGGCTAATGATCCCAGTGGTCATCTTGTTATACAACACTGTGTTAAACAGTTTACTACCGAATATAATAAGGTAATAAACAAATATTATCTTGTTTGTCTACATGTTTAATATTACTAACTATAGCATTAAAATAAGTTGTTGTCTGTGTTAGTGTATACTATTTTGGTTTGAATATTGGGATTATCCTATCTAGGAGTGCTAATCACATAACTGAGATAATAAGGAGAAGTGGGGAACCAAATAGTAGTTCTTCTTTGTAATGAACTGGCTGCAAGTCTTCGTAGCCCTGTATACGGATGAACGTTTTCTTATTGAAGTGCATTATATAAGAATTGGAGAAAAAATGTTAGTGATTCTATAGCTTGTAAGCTTCTCTTTTGACGATTGTGCTCATATGTTTTGATTAATTTTTAGTTGGTCTTTTGTTTCTTGGCAACTCCAGAGCAGTGTGTGGTACGTGGCTGCTCTTAGTCATGTATTCCTTATCATCATGGGTTAATTTATTTAATTTTAATTATATAATTTCCGTGAAGCCTGTGGCCCCTTTCTTAGGAGAAGAAATTTTACTTTTTGCATAACTTATATTTTTCAGTAACAATTAGCCCTTGTTTGATGCCCATTAAAAAAGTTTTTTTTCTACGGAGAAAATGAGTTTCGGAAAAGTGATTTTTTTTTTTTTTTTTTTTGGGGAGAATAAGCAGTTAAAAAATACGGAAAATTTTTGGGTTTACGTGTAAAATATTTTATTATGCGAATGTGTGGTTGAAGATGAGGTTTAGGAAAAAGAGAGTTTTAAGAGAATGGTAGGCAAACATAGGCTAATTTGCTTTTGGTGTGTTAAATTTGAGTCAATATGTATTATCAATTACCACTACCCTATTTGATGAACATGTTCAGTTCAATTGGACGTTCAATTTAGTATCTGATTGGTGGGCATCACTTCCGACGAACTAGGACAAGAGTAGAGGCTCTCAATGTGATTTCATAACTAGTTGGTGCATTCAAATGATCAGAAAAAGTTCTGTCTCTAAGCTTATTTTGATAGGATTCTTGCTTCAATACAAGTTTTCCCTTGTTTATTTTGGTTTATAACAAAAACGTTCTGGTGGAAAATAATATTAAACTGATATGATTAGTTGCTGGATTAAATTGTAAGGACTAACTATAGGACTTGTTCATATTAAGGCTTATGATGCTGGGATAATGTCTTGGCATTTGGAAAATGAAATGCTACTTTATCCTTCACATTATATATTGGCATAGCAATCTCGATCGAGGTTTTTGCCAATAAGCAAAGAAATTGGATGTCCAAGAATACCTGATCGTCTGGATGCCTATATATATTTCTCAAATGATATTATCTCCATGCTTATGTATTTCTTTGCTTATGTTGTCCCTTTATGGATTTATTTGCTAAGAAGTAATTTCATTCATCCATTTCTTGTCGTTATCTTATATATATCTGAGATAATTTTCTATAGATCTTTATCATGCATATTGGATAGAGAAATGTGCTATGGTCAAGGTGCTGCATTGCCAATACATTGTACATTTTAAGTTCTTGAGACTCATACTAGGAGCATCAACTAGAAAAGATGCTTATATATAAACTATGGTTGATAGGCATTAGCTGCTAAATATATTATTCTAGAACCTTTGACGAAAAAATTCCAGTTATGTTTGCTGGAAATAATGCAGCTAAAGAGATATTTAGCTTTTCTTATATGTTAACTAGGCGTAAGCAAAGTTACCGAGGGTCTTTTCCTTTTCTGCTTCCTTAGGATGCTGTGGCTGTTTAAAGTACTGTACCTGAAATCATTAAGAGTCGGCATAAGTTCTGTTTTCCAGTTCAATCAGCTATCTAACATTGGATTCCAATTGGCAGATTCTTCTCAATGAAATAGGAAACAACTGCTTCGTAATTGCAACCAATAAAAGTGGGTGTTGTGTGATGCAATCATGCGTGGAACATTCGTACGGGGAACTGAGAGAATGGTTAATACGTAATATAGTAGCTAATGCAGTGCACCTAGCCGAGGATCCTTATGGGTAAATCTGCAAGCTGTCCTATGTGTTCCAATCATATCGTTGATATCAATATATAGACACACATGTACCTGATTTTATTAAATTTCAATTGTTTTAGGAACTATGTGGTGCAATACCTGCTTGGAATGAAAATTCCAGAAGTCATGACTCATCTTGTGAGACGGTTTGAAGGGAATTTCGTGTCTCTCTCCTTCAATAAGTATGCAAGTAACGTTGTGGAGAAATTTTTGGAAACTTCAGGAGAAAAACATTCCAGAAAAATTATCATTGAGCTGATTACAAGTCCAAATTTCTGTATGCTTCTTGTGGATCCTTTCAGAAACTTTGTTATTCAATCAGCACTGTCAGAAGCAAAGGTGAGATCCAAATTCTCAAATCTTAAAATTCTTTTCTTTCAATGTGCTGAATATGTACAGGTTGTAAATGCCATTGGATCCATATGTATGCTGTCTTATTTACTGAGACCAATTATGTGGATGAATTGATATGTACAGAAAAATTAGCAGAACTACATCCAGGTCTTTGAGTGTTTTCTTGGATATAAAAAGCAATTTGTTAAAATATTACAGATCAAATTTCACTATAATAAAAGAATAAATATACTGAAGTGAACATAATATTGTGGAATGCTTTATTGCTCTCATTGTAATTCACACAAGCAGAACTGTAATGTACCTGTGCAAGTATTTTGTATTTGAGTTTTTCTTTGCAATCCTTGAATATCATACTTGTTGATCTACCTCAAGAACTATACCGACCATCACACGTGATGGCATATTGACCCGATAAGCCGAATCTGTTCAAGTGATTTGAAGTACTTGAGCAAAAATTCTGAGGGGCCTTTCCAAAAAAAACAAATTTTAAGGGAGCAGAATGGTATGGGGCCTTACAATGTGGAGTCGACTGTTTATAGGAAGCCGTCATTTGTGCATATTGATCTTCTATCAAAAATTTCCATTATAAAGCTTAGGCGTAGAACTGCTGCTTAACGTTTCAGCACATGTTGATTATTTGGACCAAAAAATGGCTAAGCTCTAATTCCCGTTACTCTGTAATTTTGCATTGTGCATGAGCAGGGTCATGTTCGTGACTCTCTTCTAAATGTAATCCGAGCTAATGTTCCATCCATCCGAAGCAGTCTATATGGGAAAAAGATCCTCAGTTGCCTTGAAAAGATGAAGCTCTCGCTTGTATAGAAGTGCCCAAGTGAAAGCTGTTTACTTATCTTGAAGAGTGAGCTAGTGTAATTTTCGTCATCTATGAGAAAATGTAGGCGGTAGTAGGTTTATATGTAATGTTTTTGTCATTTTTAACTGTTTAAAGTGTAGTTTGTGTTATGGCTGTGGTAGAGAATGTTTACAAGGACAAAGAAAGCTGTTGAATATCTGAAGATGCAATTGAAGCATCATATTATGTGATCTGTAGCAGAAAGTGCATGGCACATTATGCTTTTAAACAGTGCATATTGAGTTCTTCTGATGGTGGTATGATTCATTTGGCGTTGGTCTTATTTCTCATCAATATTTAGTATACTTGCAATCAATAGGTACATTTATTGCATGTCTCTGAATTACATTAGTGTAACTGCTCGTCTATAAGCAGCTTTCAAAACTTTTGTCAATAAATTTCTCTGATGTTTCCTAATTTCCATCCTAGTCTGGTGAATTGGATGGACAGACGGTACATGCCCCAACAGGTGTGGATATGATCACGTCAAGCCGAGAGTTTTTGCAATTTCTTTTTCATGAATTTGCATAAGTTTTGTCACGCACTACAGGCCACTATAGTCTCGTGTGGTGTAACTTAGGGACGTATAAAGATTGTTGGTAAGCTAGGGTGGTCGTTGACCATTGACCATCGATTGTCAATACTTGTAATAGTAAGATCGTTTATTAATATTTAATTAAATGATGTTAAAAAAATTTTAATCAATTTATAAATTTACTAAAATATAAAAATTATATACATATGATAATATAATCCAATATATCCCAAAATAATAAGAAAAAATACAAGATGCAATCTTGCTCCGTAACTGTAAGCTTAGACAATTACATTCCTCATGGTCTCATATTTTAAAAGCACTACATGATTGCCTCATTCTCATTTTTTTGGAAATTATCTCATTCTATCTATACCACCAAATTATCATTCAACTAGTCATCTTCCATCTTCTTGTGCAAGTCACTCGTGAATAGATTCGTGACAGAGAATGTCCTTTTGCCACTTACAGTTGCCACTGGTAATATCAATACCAATGTAATAAGCCTATGAACCAATAGGAAAAAACAATAATTTCTAGTTTTAACCAACTTTTGAGCTACACAAGATATGTTAATGAGGTTTAGTCCTTTCTCACAAGTACAAGAAGCCTTTCAAGTGGGGGTCTGAGTAATATGAGCTCTTACATAGTGAAGTCCAAATGATAGGATTGAGCAAGACATAGCAATTTATCCTAATCAAAAGTTACAAATGAGGCTCTTGAACTCAAACTAAAATGGAAGTAAAGAGCTCAGTAGTGATCTCTAGAAAATAATCATTCAACTCCTTTAAGATTGAGTCTATTATATAGCAATACAAATCAACATACAAGCGATGGCAATAAGTCACCAGCTGAGCTCCACGCCTTGACTGGACTCTCAATACTACAATATCCTTTATATTGGGCACTGAAATATGTCTAATAACACAACCTAATCATCCCACTTAACAAATTATCCCAACCATTGTCCCTTATGTTGTGCGATGCATACTTACATAAATCCAACAATGTCGTGGCATTCTGAATACCTTGCCCCTTTTTTCTATGAGGCTTGTGAAAAGTCAGCTTTAATTGTACAAATTTCAAATATAAACTTGAGACAAAACACAAACACAAACTCAAAATTTTGCGTGGTGCTCACCATCTTGTGATTATTGTTCTCTGCTCTGACTTTATTCCATCTTTTGATATATTCTCAAGAACATCTATGATATTATTGAACATACTAATAAAATGAGTAATTGTAAAAAGATGTGAACTTCATCTAGTATCATCTAGTCAAGCCAAACTTGTTTCTTGAAACTTAGCACTGCCACCACAGAAGTCCCTAATATTAAGCTCCATGAGAATCTTACAATGCTAAATTGGTCGAAGAGTACCTACACACTTACATGATGCACCCACCAAATTCACAACAATAGTAAGCATGTTAAATAAATTACCAAGCATATCATTACTACGTGCTCGCCTAAATAACTGCTAACTGAAGTTGATGAACAAAGCAATAAACATGCAAAGCATAGGGATTCTCCCTTAAAATCAAAGCTTTCAACCCATTGAACTCACTTGACATATTGCTTGCTCCATCATAACATTGACCTCTCAGACTAGATATGTTCAACATATGTATAGAAAACATTGCATTAGTAGCATCTTTGAGTGATTGAACACAAGTATCAGTGACATGGAAAATACCTAAAAAAGCCCATTCATTTGTCCACTTTTGTCTACAAACCTCAAAATATCTGCCATTTTTTCCTCACAAAAGTATCACGAGACTCATAAACCAAAATTGAAAACAAAGAATCACCCATCTCTTTCATAATACCACTTGTCATCTTTACGGCGTAACAGTTAACGAAGTCCTTCTAGATTTTTGGTGAAGTCATTTGGTCATTTTTTAGAGCATTACTAATTACTACATCCTTCACTTCTTTACAACGAGCTGCATACCAATCTCATAGCTCAATTAGATTTCCTCTATTAAGTGACTTTTTTGTCTTATCACAACCACGAAAGCCAATCCTTGAATCAAGAGAAATTTAGTACAATCTAGTACCATAGTCAACCTCATCCTACAACTCTTCCGTTGGTTACTATTTTAGCTAGAAAAAGTAAAGGAGATACATTTCTTTTGATTCATCAAGTAGGTGCACTTAGAGCCCAATTGATTGTAAAGATGGAATTAAATTGAATTGAAAACAAATTATAGGGAATTGAATTGCCTAAAAATTGTTTTCTTTGGAATTGTAAATTATTGTGTTTGATCGGTATAATTTTCCACGTGGAAAATATTAAAATAAAAGTGTTTTTTGGTGATCGTTTTGTTTTGTTTTACATGAAAATTATCAATTAAAGGGATAGATTTTACTAGTATTGAGAATGAAATTTGTTTCCATTGTCAACAAACAAATAAAAAATTAAAAAATCAAGAAAATTATTTATATTTTGGTGTTCGTTTGATTTTGTTTTATATGAAAATTGTTAATTTAAAAATATCCCCTTTTACAATTGTTCCTAGAATTTGTTTCAATTGCAAAAAAAAAAAAAAACACGTAAAAAGCTGGAATTGCAATTCCCACCATTTTCGTGAGAATTACTTTTAATCAAAAAGCAAGAGAAATGCTTATGTGGCATGGGTTTAGAGAATCTTTTCCATGAAAAATTTCTGCCATCAAATTTGAAATGGAATTTAATTTCAGGCATATCAAACATTGCCTCAGTGAAAGATTGACTTTGAGCACTGTTAAAGAGAGCGACATGATCTTTCAAAGTCTTTCTATTATTTCAATTCCTAAATCCAGTCTTAGTGAATGCATGTTTACCCCTTTGACCCCCTCTACAAGTTTGAACGAGTAACAATACAAATATTTTGATGGAGATATGCAGTAGTGTTCCAAATGGATGGAAATCATCCATCTAATCGTTATTTGACCTGAAAATGTAAAAATTGAATATTTTGATTATTTTAAGTAATGGCGTTTTAGTCGACCCCATAAAAAAAAATAATAATAATAATAATAAAATAATAATAAATAAAAAATAAAATAAAAGAAGAAGGCAGGAAGGAAGAAGAAGAAACCATATTTTTCATCTTCTCTCCTTCTACCACCCAACCCTTGCACACCTCAACATTCCCCAAAACAAATCTACACCATTTTCCTCATCATCGCCTTCATCCTACAAAACCCTACGATGGTTATCACCCACATAAGTACCAACATACAGGTTATCATACATTATAGTTGTTTATAAAGATGCGTTCATACATTATATTTGTACCCAATGTTTGTCCTTCTTCATCACCGTCAACACCTTCGCAAATTTTAAAATCTCCTCAGAAGAAGCTCTATTCCATACACTGCAATCTGTATTCAAATTTGGGATCAATGATTTCTTTCTTGATGAAGAATTGGATTTGAAATAGGGCTTTTTTAAATTAGAAATCATTGAACCAAAATAGGAGAAATCATGACTAGGTTTTGATGTGATTGAAAATGGGCTATAATAATGTAAAAAAGAACGCAAAAAATTGAAAAAAACAGAGAAAATTGGTGGCCTCATGAGCTTTACGATTCTTCTCATCCTGTTTGTTCTCGAAGAAACGACCACTCTTGCATTCTTGAATTGGAAAGTAGACTATTGGGGCTTGCATTAGCTTTCATTGGTGGTAGTGGCGGAAGAGGAGAAGGAACGAGAGTGGCAGAGCTTTGGGCGGAGCAGATAAGGGTTTTTGAAGGTGTGAAGAAAGACAAGATCTTTGGTATGGATGAGGCAGTCATTGTTGGGGGTTGTTTTCCAATTCTACTGGAATTTTTCGGGAGCTCTAAATCCTTCAAGATCGTCGAAAGATTCTGTTACAGTGGTGGTGTGAGTTCAATTTTTTGGTTTCGGTTTGTGGGAAGGGGAAGGGTGAGGCCGAGGCTGCTGGGGAAAACTGGAGGAGGAGGGAGAGGAAAAACATGGTTTTTCATTTTATTTTTCATTTTGGGTTTTTTAATTTAATTTATATAGGATTGACCAAAATGCCATTACTTAAAATAATCAAAATTTTCATATTTGACATTTTTTAGGTTAGCTAACAATCAAATGAATTTGGACCTCCGCTACATATTTTTAAAATGTTAAAGATATTCGTTGGCACAAATTGAATGTTAAGGTAAACTTTACAAAAATTGAGAAGGTTAGGGACTATTGTTGCAATTTTCACAAATTAAAATCACGAATTTTATTAATTGAAAAGATTATCAAAACGATGAATTAACCATTTATATGAAAACATAATTTAAACAAACTAAAATAGCAAAGGATTCGAAATAAACTAAATGACAAAAATAACACTAAAACTTTAAAAAGCAATTTTTGAATCCTAAACGAACTAGAATGGCCAAAATACATTGTACGTCACTGCGAAGAGTGAGTTCTACTTGTATGGTCATTCTCTTTTCGAAATGATATTATGGGCCTAACCCGTAGCTCGAACGTCACACCTACACTTGTAGCTTTTTTCTTTCGATCTAATACTTCTTTAATTCATTTAGTCATTTCTTTTTTCTCTTTCGATCTAATTCTTCTTCAATTCATTTAGCCATCTATTTTACATCACTTTCCTAAAATGCCTATTATCATTTTCCATGGGCTTTTTTGAAAAGTCATGTCCGTGTGGTTAACAATGACCTTTTTCTAAGTATGCCATCCTAATATCATCTCTATTATTAGGATAATATGATCGATAGGGGGGCAT